TAACATTTAGAGCTTTTTTCTTTCATAAAAATAAATGATTTTTTAAGACGACAGAAATGTCATGCAGACATCCCAATCATTACACAAAAGCATAGAAATTCTGGTTCAAATATACAGTGCATCTGGAAAGTATTTATAGCGCTTCACTTTTTCCACATTATTTTATGTTACAGTCTTTAATTCTAAAATAATTTAAATTCATTTTTCCCTAAAATTGTACACAAAATACCCCATAATGACAATGTGAAAAAACTAAAACTAAAAAACCTGAAATATCCCATGTACATCAGTGTTCACAGCCTTTGCTCAATACTTTGTTGATGCACCTTTGGCAGCAATTTACAGCCTTAAGTCTGTTTGAATATGATGCCACAAGCTTGGCACACCTGTCTATGTTTGCCCATTCTTCTTCGCAGTACCTCTCAAGCTCTATCGGGTTTGGATGGGAAGCGACGGTGTACAGTCATTTTTTAGATCTCTCCAGGGATGTTTAATAGAATTTAGGTCTGTGCTCTGGCTGGGCCACTCAAGGACATTCACTGATATTTTGGTGATTTGCTTTGGGTCAAGAGGAGGTCAAGAGCACTCTGAAGCAGGTTTTCATTCAGGATGTCTCTGTGCATTGCTGCATTCATCTTTCCCTCTATCCTGACTAGTCTTCCAGTTCCTGCTGCTGAAAAACATCCCTACAGCATCATGATGTCACCACCATGCTTCACTGTAGGGATGCTATTAGCCTGGTGATGAGCAGTGCCTGGCATTCACTCCAAAGAGTTCAAATTGAGTCTCATCAGAGCAGAGGATTTTGTTTCTTATGGTCTGAGAGTCCTTCAGATGCCTTTTGACAAATTCCAGGCAGGGAGTGACTTCCGTTTGGCCACTCTACTATACAGGGCAGATTGGTGGATTGCTGCAGAGATGGTTGTTCTTCTGTAAAGTTCTTCTCTCTCCACGGAAGAAAGCTGGAGCTCAGACCGAGTGACCATCAGGTTACTGATCACCTCCCTGACTAACGTCCCTCTCCCCCGATCATTCAGGTTAGATGGCCAGCCAGCTCTAGGAAGAGTCCTGGTGGTTAAACATCTTCCACTTACAGATAACGGAGGCCGCTGTGCTCATTGGAACTTCCAGAGCAGCAGAAATGTTTCTGTCACCTTCCCCAGCTTTGTGCCTGGAGACAATCCTGTCTCTGAGGTCTACAGACAATTCCTTTGTCTTCATGCTTGGTTTGTGCTTTGACATGCACTGTCAACCCTGGGACCTTATATAGACAGGTGTAAGCCTTTTCAAACAATGTGCAATCAACTGAATTTGCCGCAGTTGAACTCCAATGAAGCTGCTGAAATATTTCAAGAATGATCAGTGGAAACAGAATGTACCTGAGCTCAATTTAGAGCTTCACAGCAAAGGCTGTGAACACTGATGTGATTTTCAGCTTTTTTATCTTTAATAAATTTGCAACAATTTCAAAAACTCTTTTTCCATATTGTCATAATGGGGGATTGTGTGTAGAATGTTGAGGAAATAAATTAATCCATTTTTGAATAGAGCTGTACATAAAAATGTGTAAAAAGTGAAGCGCTATGAATACTTTTATTAATAAAACTATTATGTTTAAAAATGTGTTGAAAAAAATCTTCTTTCCGTTAAACAGAAATTGGGGAAAAATATATACAATAATTCAGACTCATCCTTATCAGGATACGAGATGACTTCTATTCTGACATTCGATTTTTGTCATATCATCCAGCTCACCTGATAGAGATCATACATGAACATCTGGCCCATTTTGTAGACTGGGATGGTGGCATAGATGGTACAGTTGAGCCCCAGTTTGCCCACAGCATACGGCAAAGCACCCAAATGCACATGATCAGGGTGAGAAAGCAGCACTGCATCCACCTGATGCACATACCTGATCCACACAAAACAGAAAATACACATCACACACAGGGAATTACATCAATACCGATCCATCATATTGTGATGAACATGCACAGTATTGGTATTGTGGGCACTTCAAAATACCATGAATAATTATTTAGCATTTAAAGGTCCCGTGAAGTGCTTTTGAAATGTGCAACTTTATTCAATGTTTCATGTAATCTCAACAAAAACACGAAGAGAAGGCGGAGCATATAGTAGCTCCTCCCCTTTAAAAAATGTTTTTTTAAATAAACAATGCTTGAACAATAACAACAGAACAATGCTCTTTAGAAATACACAGAAGACAAAAGCTGCGTCCCAATTCGCATACTTATGCACTATTCTACGCCATTTTGTAGTATAAATAGTGTAAGTAGTGTGTTCACACTGAAAACTCTAAAAATAATAAGTGCACTTTAATTACCCGGATGATGCCCTCATTCAGCCGGTAAAGTGAAGTGTGTAATGATGGACACTTCACGCACTCAACGACCGCAGGTTTGCTTACGTAGCGGAAGAGGCGGAGCTATCGGACGCACATGTTGGATAACTTTATTTATTTTGGATGGTGAAATCAAAATTCTCCTACGAGAGTGATTATAGCGCCTCCCGATGGTGAATGCGGATATACTCACGGCAGGTATTATTTGATAATTCGGTCGTTTATTTCAATGATTTGGCAACCGTCAAACGTCATCAGGGAAACGGTTTGAATTTCCGCTCAGTAAAAAAACATTAGTGTGCCATTTGGGACGACACTACATACATATACTATCCTGTTGAGTGTGTAAGTGCATAAGTACATAGTGCATGAGTGCATAGTGTGCCATTTGGGACGCAGCTATAGATAATCAATTTACATACATTTACAATCTTTTCATCCTCATTAATAATAATGCGTACACAAATAAATTAATTAAATAAATAACCAAAAATAACAAAAATAAACAAATAAAATAAAGAAAAATAAGTAGCAGGTGAGTTAAAGTTCTCAAAATATGAAACCAAAATCCTCTAATGATGAACGTAAATGTCTTGCTTTTTGGCTTTTTTTTTATCTCTCCTAATGTCTTCAAATATATCACAAACTCTACTTTAAACACCACAAGTCTTTACATTCTTTAACTTTCTTTTTCTTCTTCAGGTTTGTTTCTTCTAAATGCAAATTTTGTCACACTAACATGGATATCCTTAAAATTAACATACTGATACTAACATCTTACAAAAAAAAAAAACACTATTAATTTCACTTTTTAAGAATATTCAGATTGCTGCATTTCAGATTGTATATTTTATGCAGCTTAGGTCAATAATATGATAACCACCTAAATCATGATAAAAGTTTCAGCAATTACTTGCAACAAATACATTTTATACTGTCATAAGCAGGGGCGGACTGGCCATCTGGCAATTCTGGCAAATTCCAGAAGGGCAGGACCAATTTTTAAATGTAGGCCGGTCCGTTTTTTTTTGTTTTTTTTTTTGTATGTATTGTTTTTAAGTGCAGACAGCTTTTATCTCTTGCTAGATGTAATATTATGATGATGATAATAAAAATAGTAATAATAAATGTTAAGCATTTGGCCCAATCGGCAACTGCCACCTGGTTTCAAGATGGGCCGACCCAATCCAAGGTTACCCGGACATATTCAAAATCTGGCAAGAATGTCATATTATTTCACCATCTTTACACCAAAATAAATAGTGAATGTGTGTGTCCGTGGGTGGGGCTGTGTCGGTGTGGTAATGTGGGCTGGTGTGGCTACAGTGCCAGGGCTGAATTTTTGTCCCAGTCCGCCCCTGGTCATAAGCATAAACTCGTACCGCTTCAGGGAATCTATGATGTCCATGGAGAAAGTTTCATCCCAGCCGCAGTCGAGCAGAAAGCGAAACTCGTCCACCTGAAGCAGGTAACACAGAGCTGATTCCTCCTGGACTCCGGATAGAGCCGTCAGCTTGATGATGGACGTCATTCTGCTGTATGAATGAAGAATGAACATCAGAGATCATCATCACCAACAGAAACAGCACATTTAAAGCTGACCACTTCAAATACTACATGGTATTGATATATACGATTGTTATCTAATATGCCATTATCCCTGTAACACGATATAACCATGTTGCGTTTTGTAAACCGGCTAACGTAAATTAAAACACAATACCATGAACATGCTATTAAAGACAACAGACAAGCATATAAAGAGCAAAGCTTTCATTTCAAGACACAGAATAAGGAATATTTGAATATAATGAATGAATAAAGTATTCTTGAGCCTTCACAATTCCTATATATTAACATAAATCTGACATTTAAACTTAAATCTGAACTCAATGAAAACACAGAGAGTCAAACAAATGAAGTGGTGTTCTTAGCAAACTGACCGAATTTATGTTAATAAAAACGTACATACCCGAATCCTGTAATATCACTTTAGAAATTAAGGATGTGTGGTTTCATATAATTTATAAAAGTCGCTCAAAAATCATATTTAATCCATATTAATGTATCAAGATCGGCGGCATGAGAGGAGCAGCCATTACCGCCGCTGCCGACGTCACTGAACTCTACCACTGAGAGCTTTAGGGGGGTGCTTATCAGTAACACATAAAAGTCTCCTAAACGTAAAGCACACATATAGATATTAACTTTTGGATTAAATTTATTTCAACAATATAGTTATTATGGAAGGCAGACTAAAGTTCTGACCATAAATTAAATCCTATAATGTAATGTTTTGAGATAGAACGTCACAAATGCTTTTCTTTCTTGCTTTCTTTCCTTTTCTTTCTTTCTTTTCTCCTTCTTTGACTTCCATGATTTTTACATAAGATAAATGTGAATAAAACAAATAACTGTAATAAAAATGAATAACTTTTTAGCAAAAATGAAGTATCCACAACAATATACTCCAGTGTATCATTATGAGCCAGGGTTTTACTTCATTTATTTAATGTAATTGGATTAACCTGCACAAATTAACAGCGAATTTAAACCACTGTAAAAGATAAACATTCGGTTAAACTGTGCTTTTAACACAAACGTTTGATCACGCCTCCCTTCAAGCTATTGACAATTGGTACGGTCCAAAGCCCTCTAACCCTTCTGCTAATGGTGCTGTGCTAACACACTCAAGGTAAACGACTTCATGTCCTCTTAAATGTAACTTATATAAACGCGTGCTTATTTATAAGTCTGAATATTAGATATGTATAAGCGTTACAGCTGGAATAGTGACAGTACAATCTCGTGTTTATGTGAGGACGGTAGCAGATAGTGTGCACAAGGGCCGACAACAGTCACCTTCACATCAACAAATATGTATACATCATAATCTGAATATTGTTTCTATTATGATACTGCGATGTGAGTTAATAAATATAAATGAACGAGACTGTGTAGTTCTGTGTAGTTCTGCAAACAGACAGATCAGTAACGTAAACGTAAATACAGCGGGATTTTATTATTATTTATTTATATTGTAAATTATTTATTTTTTATTTATATTTATATTATTATTTATTTATATTGTTTTATTATTTATATTGTAATTAAAAACAATACAGACACAATTGTATTAATAAGTTATGTTCGGCTGTTAAATTCACAAAATAAGCAAACAATATTTATGAAATAATATAAAAACGGGTCATCTGTTTTTGCTAATTAACTCTCACACTTGCTTTACATTTCATTTCTGGTGTATTTAATATATTAATAAAGTATTTAAGCTGAATCAAATTTTTAAGACAAGACACTGCAAGTGAATAGTGGGGGGGAAATCAGCATTCTTCCCTAGCAGATTTTTATTGGGGTGAAGTTTTCATATTCACACATTGGGACTTTCTAATAATATCATTTCAGAAAAGTATTGTTGGAAATTCAAAATATTTAAATCACATTAGCAGCCAATGACTAGCAAAGTATGCTACAACATTGTTTAGTCAATTAAATAATGCTAATTTTGTTTTGAAAACATACTTGCATGCCACTTCAATGTAAACAATATAGGCATCCTGTCACTGAACGAATGTGCAAATATATAATACAAACTTTATTTCAATTAGATTATTTGGTGTGTTTGTGTGTGTGTGTGTGTGTGTGTGTGTGTGTGTGTGTGTGTGTGTGTGTGTATATGTAATAACTAAGTTTTCTAAAATAGTGTTAAAATACACAAATGAAAACTAATTTTCAGATAAAGTACCAGATGACTAACCAGATTGACTGTATAAAAAATAAATATTTTAGTGGAGATTTTGTTTTGGAGTCTGTTTTGATAACTCCACTGTTACCACTAATAAAAACCCCATATTTTTCATAGAAATGAACTCATAAGAATAAAAGAAAAAAATAGTTTGGCTCAGTGCAGGGTACCTTAAATATATGTATTGTTTAAGTCAGAATTATTAGCCCCCTTGTTTATTTTTTTAAGTTTTTTTTCAGCACATTTCTAATCATAATAGTTTTAATAACTCATTTCAAATAACTGATTTATTTTACCTTTGCCATGATGACAGTAAATAATATTTGACTAGATATTTTTCAAGACACTTCTATACAGCTTAAAGTGACATTTAAATGATTAATTAGGTTAATTAGGTTAACTAGGCAGGTTTGGGTAATTAGGCAAGTTATTGTATAACGATGGTTTGTTCTGTAGACTATCGAAAAAATAGCTTAAAGGGGCTAATAATTTTGTCCTTAAAATGGTGTTTAAAAAATTCAAAACTGCTTTAATTTTGGCCAAAATATAACGAATAAGACTTTCTCCAGAAGAAAAAATATTATCAGACATACTGTGAAAATGTCCTTGCTCTGTGTGTGTGTGTGTGTATAAAATTTGTAATTAATTATATATATATATATATATATATATATATATATATATATATATATATA